ATGTAAAAAGACGGAAGGTGGACTCAAAGGAACGCTAGACCAGGATTTAGGAGTTCAGAACTGAGCCCCAGTTCTGCCACTTAACAGCAGTCTATCTTCGTTAGCTGTATAATATCTTCGAACCACAGTCCATCATCTATGAAATGGAAATAATTGTCAGACTGTGACTTCTTGAGGGTAAGGATTCTTTTTATACTTCTTGAAACCCACAGAGCCTAGGACAATGCCTACAGCATTGTAGGAGGTCATTAAATGTTTAAATGTTTGTTGACTGAATTTTGAAAAATGAGGGAAAGACCTGAAGTTTATATACATAAAATCATAAACCCTGCTAGTATCACTACCATATCCTTAAAGGCCAAACCTACCAGAATACAAGTCCCTAACTGTGATTTTAGCCCCCCATAAATTTGTTCTAGATGGTTACGTAAAAACACATTTTTCGGACCGGCCCGGTGGCGCAGCAGTTAGGTTCACACATTCTGCTTCTTGGCGTCCCGGGGTTCGCTGATTCAGATCCCGGGTGCAGACATGGCACCACTTGGCAAAAGCCATGCTGTGGTAGGCGTCCCACGTATAAAGTAGAGGAAGATGGGCTTGGATGTTAGCTCAGGGCCAGTCTTCCTCAGCAAAAAGAGGAGGATTTGCAGCCGTTAGCTCAGGGCTAATCTTCCTCAAAAAAAAAAAAATGCATTTTTCCCTGGATGTGGTAGACGGCCATGGAGCAAAAAAGGAGCTAAGTCAGTGCTCCTGAAATATACACGCATCAGAGTCACCTGAAGAGCTTAATTTTAAAGTCTAGATTCTCAGGTCCCACTCTCATAGACTCTGATCTGGATTGAGTTGGGGCCCAGTGGTCTTTTGTTTTAAATCAATCTCTCCAAGTGATTCTGATGCAGATGGTCTTTTGTCACAGTTTAAGCAACGCTGCCCTCACCCTTCAAAAGCTTGCATTTCGTCCTGAACCTTCCCTCCCACCTGCCCGAGGAAGGGCTCCTGGATGTCAGCCTTACTCTGGGTGTCTTGCATTTTTAACTATCTCAGCCCAGACCCAAGCCTTCGAACGCATCTAACTGCTCTGCAGCACGGAGAGACACAGGTTTCTGGCCTGGTGGGTGGGTTCTGCCCAAAATAGTAATTCCGAGCTCATGGAGAGGACTTCACGACACAGGCTCAGTCCCCTACGAAGTTATGAGTCAGAACATCTTTTTCAGTCTTGAAAGTGATTAGCAAAGCAGAACAGAGTCTTTGAAGCATTGTTTTCCTCCATAACAAAGAGATGAGGTGCACCTGTTCAAGTGACGACCGTCGTTATAGAAACCACCTGTTTCAAGTGAGGGACGAAGAAGAACCACATACTCCACTCAAGTGAACAAGCTTTCAGGAGAGCTCGGCAGGGCTCACTAGCTCTTGGCTGACGTACTGCACATCCAGATGTGTTTGTTTCTACACACGGAGACTTTGAGTCGTGGCTCCCCTCTGGAGCCCCTCGCTTCCTTCTCACACAGGCCTCGGGGAGCCAGGATATCCCAACCCCTTTATTTCACAGACCTTGTTTAAACACAAGAGAGACCGAGTTGACCACCCCACCCTCTTTTCCTACGGCACATGAGTTTAAAAATATAAAAACATATAAGCCTCTCATGAATCTCGTTGTCTCAGTAAAAATAATCACGGACCTTGCTTCTTGGATCCCATCGCGTAGAGAAAAGAGAGAACCCTGAGCCAGGCTGCAGGTCAGCACAGGGGGGTGCTCTGGGAGGTGACATCCTTGGACCCAAATGGCTTGAGGGGAATTTTTTAATGAGGCCTCCTGCCTGAGCTGGAATGTTCCCCTGGTGTTGACTTTCCCCTCCTTCAACTCCACCCCCTCCTACCCCGTATTTAGAAAGTGTCACAAAGACGTTCTACTGGAGAAGACATTGGATTGGGCTGCTTCTCTGGTGTCTGCAGCAAACTTCTTAAAAGGCCAGATAGTAAATATTTTAGGCACAACTCTGCCATTGTGGCAGGAAGCAGCCATAGACAATATGCAAGTGAATGAGCGTGGCTGTGTTCCAATGGAAGCTTATTTTCTAAAACACGTGGCAGGGTGCATTTGGCCCATGGGCCATAGTTTGTCACACTTTGCTGTAGTGGATGCTGTTGGGTGCAGCCTACATTGTCCCCTCCAGGAATGATGTACTCACAGTTCTGGGTGCTGGGAACGGTGGAGGCTGAAAGCTCTCAGCTGAGTCCCTCTGTGGGGACTGCTGTCAGCTGAAGAAAGAAGTCACCTTACCCAAGGCATGTTCTGTCTTCTCAAGGGCAGCCCACATCCAGTGATTGGTGATGGGGAATATAAAGGGCGGGTCTACTTGGCCCAGGACAAGGACAATGTGAAAGGCCGTCCCAGCTCCAGCGGCCCCTGCAGGATTGACTGGGGCCGGTTGTGACTGCATTGCAGTTCAGCATCTCTCTCTTCCCAGTCATGTTTCCTTCACTCCCCGGCAGATGTTGACCCTGAGAGGACAGCCCAGTGAACTTTCTGCATTAGAATCTCCAAGTCGGAGTCTGCCTCCCAGAAAACCCAACCGCAGACAAGCACTATTCCACTCCTCCCAGCCCCGCTCTCCTTTGACCCTGGCCCACCCTGGGGGGGCTTGCTTACCTCCTGGGAAGCCCCTGTCATGCTGTGCAGGCTACTGTGCACATGACCGGCCAACAGAACTTCTGGTGCTCTTCTGGAACTCATTTTCATCGCTCTGCTGGGGCCACCACCGCTAGCAGGGGGCTATCACCATTGCCCATCAGGACGGCTGCTCACAAGTGAGTTTCAAACTGTGTCTTACATAAAATGCAGATTCCGGATCTGGGGTGGGGCCTAGGAATCTGTATACTTAGCAAGCATTAACAAGCACTACAGATGACTCTAAAATTGCTGGTTTATGAAACACTGTGCACTATGCTTTACTTGCACAGAGTAGCTACTTCCCAAACATTGATTCAAGAGACATTTCTAAGCACTGACTGTGCTAAGGGAGTTATAGTCAAAACGCTTGTTACATATGTACAGGATATGCAAGTAACAAGCTAAGAACAACTAACTCCATATATTTATACAATATGAATTGACATGGAACTTCAAAAGTGTATCTTGCCTGAAGATAAAAGACATTCACAATAGGTCATTGAGATGAGAACAGGGTTAGAATGGTTGAACTTGGGAAGAGGTTGCAGACTCAAATACTGGACAGCAGGACAGGTAAAGGCACGACACAGCCGGATGCAAGATAATAGGGAATGCTAGGGACTGTGACATACCCACTCTGAGGGGGACACCTGAAACTCACGGCTACCAGTCGTGAAATGTGAGAATGGGGAAGCATTGTTGCCAGATCATCTAATTTTTTAAAGAGAAGTCTAAAACTGGATACCTGTGATAGAAAATCTACAGGTTTTTAAATATTGGCTCATATTTACTTCTTCTTAAGTCTGTAAATTCAGTTAGGCCCTCAGGACATCAGCACTAGCTGAAGTCTTCTGGGAGTAGCAAGCAGGATAATTGCTCTATTTGTGAAAAAGAAATCCTCCAGCGTTGCCAAGGAGCACAAAGGAATCCCAGGGGCCATCTGAGGGGACAAACACCACAGACGTCCTTTAATGAGGCAGACGGGACCAGAGGCAGAGGTTTATAAGGAGAACTCGAGTTCAAACCATATGTAAAGAGTCCTGGGAAGAGAGTCCAATGAGGAGCAGAAGGGAAGTGAGACAAGATTTTGCATCAACCCTGGGGAGGATCAGAGGCTCAGCCCAAAGTGGAGAAGGTGTCTGCGTGAACAGAGGCCGACTCCAGGAGAGATGGGATGGGACCTCAGTCCCCGGGTCCTGGAGGTTGGACAGGTTAGACGTCGCTGTGAGAGCTGGGGACAAAGTCAAGTGATCTGAAGTCATTGGGTAGGATGGACCCACTTTTGGGGTAACAAAGACCAGGGAATCACAGGCCCATCACACAGCCATATAGGAGATGTTACAGTTTCACTCAGATTGACAAGCCAAGGGCCTGTTACAATGACTCTTATTTTTGTTTGTTTGTTTGCTTGCTTGTTTTGGTTGGCAAGACAGTTGTGATTTTATTTTTGGAGATAAAAGTAAGAACTGACATCAGAACTGGCGTATTTTAATGAGAATAAGTAAAAAAGATTAATCAACTTTCCTGAGTGTGTCTCATATTCTAATGATGGATATAGTTCTTAATTTAAAGGCAGGAAAGGAAAGAGTCCCAGATGCTATGCCTACTTCCACCAGCAGCAGACTGTGTGACCGGTGCCAAGTCAGAATCTCACCTCTGTGGTTTATGCATTCTGAAAATAAGGTGATGGAAGGGATCATCTCTCAGGTTCCTTTCAATATGAACAGTGGTCATGTAGCTCTGAATATTTAGGCTTTGTTTGCTTACAAGTAACAAAAAAATATAAGCCAAAGTGGCTTAAGCAAGAAGGAAATTTATTATCTTATATAATTGAAAAATCCATGGGGAAATCAGGTGTGGATTGATCAGGACTCCAATAATGTTACAGAAAACTTGCTTCCTCTTCATTTCTTGGCTCTGCCCTCTAGATGTTGAACCCATGCTTAGCATTCACAGGAGAGCAACATGGTTGCAACAGCACAAAGAACTACATTGTCTTCTATTAAACTCCAGTAGAAAATATACTTGCCTCTATCTCATATGTCTCCGGGATAGTCTAAAGATATCTCATTGGCTTAGTAATGAACCAATGGCCCAATTAAAAGTAATCTTGGGAGGCTGGCCCCTGGCCAAGTGGTTAAGTTCGTGCGCTCTGCTTCAGTGGCCCAGGGTTTTGCTGGTTCCGATCCTGGGTGCAGACATGGCACCACTCATCAAGCCATGCTGAGGCAGCGTCCCACACAGCACAACCAGAAGGGCCTACAACTAGAATATACAACTACATACTGGGGGACTTTGGGGAGAAGAAGAAGAAGAAAAAGAAGATTGGCAACAGATGTTAGCTCAGGTGCCAGTCTTAAAAAAAACAAAAAAAAGGATTTACAAAAAAAAAGTAATCTTGGTAGCCAGAAGGCATGCGATGATTTGATTGACTTAAGTTACATGGAGCTGGGTAACTCTGGAGTTGGAGAGTGGAGTTTTACTCAAAAAGGGGACAGTGGATTCCCCAAATTGTTGGTAGTAAAAGAGAGATGAACAGACACTGGATGCCGAAACAAAGGCAAACAAAATCTGACCTGTGACTTCATGAGACACAACATGTGACACTCATAGACCGTCTTTTAAAACGTACCCTTTCTAATGGGCTCTTTAGGCCACACAAGGTATTACTCTCATAAAAATGCAATAGAAGAAGCAATTATAATAATCTTCTTTGTGGTGATGTTTGAGTCATTTCCAAAGCCTTTAGCACATCGGACAGACTACTTCATGGCTTTTCATTCGTTTCGTCGGAAAGCCTCTCTGTCTTAGGTACTGAAATCAAGAACTAAGCCAAAGCACAGGTCACCAGGCTACTGCTTCAGGTTCTTTTAGAAGAAAGACTCCCCCTTCTCCTAATTGGGGCTGTTACCCGTGATTTTTCACTCCGGAACTGGCTTTGTAGACCTCAAGTAGATCCGCTGATAAGCATAAACCCAATTCCTCTCATTAGGCATTGAAATAAGAAGATACAAAGACACATAAGTTCTGGGGAGAAAATCAGACAGAAAATTGTCTAATTAGACTTCCTGGAGTTGAGGAGAGCCAATAGGATAGAATTTAAGATAGAGATTTACTAATTAGCAGCCAGAATTCTCCGCTTGCCTTCTTCGTACTCCCATTGTGTCTAGAGAAACTGCTCGCTGTGGAACTGAGAGATGAAGGTGCCAAAGACCTTCCGCCTTTGCAAGCCTGAAAATGAATCCATCGGTACCGAAAGGCAGAAAAACGCAGCGACATGCTGGCAACAGTCAAATCTCGCCCCTTGATTTTGGCTCTGTTTCTTTAGAAAAGTTTTGGGGTTACCTGATGGGTCATCTAGCAAAGCTGGCAATTAAGTGGATCACAAACAGCAGGAATGACTTCTTGTGTAACTCTATTTCAGCTTGCTTAAACGTACCACCTGCAGTTATCCTATGAGAAATAGTGGTGACACGAAACTTAGGAGATTTATAAAAGGGAAGAAATCTGGGCCATGTTTTAAGGTGGTGTCATTAAAGTTTCAAACACACAGAAATGCAGGAAGGCTATTGTACAAATGCTGTGGGTCTCATTAGCGTGGAGTTGAATCCGTAGTTATCCCTACTGACCTTCCACAATGCTAAATATTCTTCTAATGCACGAGCAACACACCACTGTCTTATGTCTCATGATGGTTATCTTGCAAATTTAACTTGCCTTTTTGCAATTAAATTGTAATATTTAATTTGCTGCAATTTATTCTGCCATTGAATTTTTTTCAACATGTCTTTTCTAGAAAAATCAAAAGTAAATGTCAAGCATCTGTAAAAATAGGTACAAAATTTTTATAGGTACAGCTTACCTCACAAGAGCACACAAGTTTGTTGTTGTTGTTGTTCCGTCTGTGAAAAAGGAAGAGATAAAGGTGGCATGAACTGAGGATCTGTAAATCCAACATTTTGTGCCACAGGTTCACGAGCAAGATGTGCAGAGGGGAAACCTCAGAAAAATGCATCTTCTTCACAACGTGCTTTGGTTGGCTTGAATCACAGTGGTATATTAGCCCTAAGAAATCATTTCCCAAAGCAGAGGTCAGCAAGCTATGGCCCGTGGGCCAAATTCATCCCCCCACCTATTTTTGTAAGTAAAGTTTTATTAGAACCCAGCCACATTCACTCAGCTAAGTATGATCTATGGCTGCCTTCACACCACAACAACAGAGATGAGCAGTTGTGATACAGACTGTATGGTCTGCAAAGCCTAAAGTGTTTACTATCCAGCCCTGGAAAAACAGAAAAAGGTTTTCCAACCCCTGTTGCAAAGGCTAAAAGCAAATGGCCTCCTTGGTCTCCGTATCTTAGCATCCAGGTTTCATCACACCAATGGAAAGAGTAGGCAAGGAAAGAGAACCCAAGAACATGTGTATGGGAGGAAAGTGGAGCATTTCTCCCTGAGACCTCTAGCAGAGCAGCCCAGGGTCACCCATCCTAGACTTTCTCTGGGCAAGAGGCTCCTACCGATGAGGCTGCAGCTCCATCAGCCCTCATGAGAAAAGAATGCACTGGAAAAGCTTAGGAAGGAAACATACCCCGGTGTGGCAGAGAGTGTGGTGATCGGTTGGATTACTCTGTTGTCACACCTCATAGCTCCATCCTTAATTCCTGACAGCTGGGTATCTCCCCGTCTCAGATAGATTATGTATTTTCACCATTTCATATCATCTTTTGTATCCATCTCCCAAGGAATATATTCATTGCTATAGATAAACAGCTATGTGCATGAATATAAAATATGGAGCAATCTCAAAAATTTCACCTTTCCCCTCTCCACACCCAAAAGTGTTCTTCCCAACACCATGGCCCCATAACCATCTGGCTGTAACCCATCATATCAGCAATCCTGACCAGGTAGATTTCTGTGTGTGTGTTGTATTAGGCAGTAGGGGGCAGGGAGGGTTAATTACCCTCTTTCTAGAGGTCAACTCTGTTCATCTCTCTGCCTGCCTCTGTGTTATAAATTGTTCTGAAAAATAAAGGTCTGGTAGGAAATGCCACTCATTCTATGGCCATATTAAAGATTTGCCATGCACATAGAAGATTAAGGTCTCTAAGAAACAAAGCAATAGAGAAACCTGTTTAACTCTGTTTAACCCAGTATATTAGGCAGCTATTGCCACGATAGCGCTGCGTAACAAACAACTCCCAAAATTCTGTGGCTTACAGAAAGCACTTATTGTAACACTCACAAATCTGCAGGTTGACAATAATTTTGCTGAGCCAGGCTAAGCTCAGTTGGACCTCTCTGCTCCAGGCTGAGGATTGGCTAGGCTTGGCTTTGAGCTATGGGTTGGACTCAGGTCAGCTTCTGGAGTATTCATTCTTGGACCCAGACTGAAGAGGCAGCAGCCACCCAGGAGAAGCTCTTGTACAAGCATATTTCAAGCTTCTGCTCATGTCAGGTCTGTTAACATCCTATTGGCCAAAGCAAGACACATGGCCAAACCCTAGTCAATGGGCAGGGAAGTACATCCTACCCACTATGAGGCTGTGGCTTGAGCGTGGGTGTGTAATTCTACTACCTTCTGACAGTCCATTAGCTTTCCGGCATTCCTTCCACCCCACTCTGACCCCACCATTATTGCAACTACCATCCCAGCAGTGTCCATCTTGTTTTGACCACAGGACTCTCTTCAGACTCATATCTACCAAAATTAGTTCCATGAAATATACTTCATGCTAATCTATACATAAACGACTATATGAATAATTATAGAACGAGGCTTGATTTTCAAACACAGTGCACACGAGACTCTTTCCACTGTGAGTAGGAGGAAGAGGCGAATGAATCTCTGAGACTTCATCCTCTCTAAACACGCGTGTGTTTTATCTATACAATGTTACCAGAAAGAATCGGAAATCGCAAGACTGGCCTCACACAGAATTTGACGAATTTTCCGAGACTATGCCAGGAAAGGATGCAGAAATCCTTTGCAGTTTGTCTTCCTCTTGGGTTTGCAAAGCCAAGTCTTTGCCTCTTGCAGCTGTCATCAGGCGATCAGCACAGACTCATTAGAGCAGAGTCACTTCAGTAATAGTCCAATTCTCCTCGTCGGCGGGAGTCTCAGGCACCTGGCCTGCGAGCCTGAGCCGGGCTGTGAGGGGGAGATGTCAACTTCTTTGTCTTCTGTTTGGTGCTCAATTTCAAGGAGATCTAAGAGGTAGCATCTGGGGTGAAACTGAATTGAGAGGCAAGCATTGGCTGAACTGGCTGATTAGACAGGCAGAGAACCAGGACTAGACACAAACACAGACACGTAGGGCAGAGCAGTGGGGTCCAGCAGAGGGGAGGAGGACGCTTTGCCTGGAGAAAGTGCTGTAGATTCCAGGGCCCTTGACCTTGCTGGTGAGTGAAAGGAATCTGGGTCCATTTGGACCAGTTCTGAGCCACCAGGTGGAGCTTGGGTCACCGCAAATTAGAGCCGGCAATCATTTCATCTTTAAGATGGGGGGTTATTTTAGAGTAGAATATTCTAAAACATCTTCCAGAGAACACAAGTCTGTCGTATGCTGATGGATATTACATGAAACAGAGTTCAGTGGACGCACGAGTTTTAGAGACCCCTGTTAGGTTATCTTGGAGAGACTTCTTGGCAGAACTTTATAATGATAATGTTTATTGTAAGCCTCCAAGAGGAATATATAGTTCATAGCATTTTGCAAATTGATTGATTATGAAGCCCACTTTTTTAGAGCATTTTGGCAAACCACCCTCTAGGAAGCATGGATATAGTCACGTAAATCAACTAACTGTGCTTTCTACTTATAAACTGCAGAGTACCAAAGTAAAGTTATGAAAGAAAAACTTAAGCATAACAAATTAAATTATCGCCAACTTAACCGTATTACCTCACCTCTCACTATTTTCTTCTTTTTTCTCAAAATGTGTTAGGGATATTATTTTAATATGATTAAGTAGCTTTCTCTTCTGCATTTCCTCATACTGAGCTTCCTACAGGTCATCAGAAACGTCTATTTCCCTTGAGAAGGTTAACAATTATTACAGCAGGAGTGAAAAAAGAAAAACAGCTAATATTGAGCTTTGGAATTCCAAAATAGAATTTTGCAGTAACTTAATGGTCTATAAAAGCAAGCTTTTTCAAGAGAAAAAGGATTTCCTATATCTCTTTAACTCCCTTTAACTTGCTTAAAGGCTGAGCCTAAGTGAGCCAGATCAAACAGCTGCTTCTACACCCACGCATCTCAAACTTCGTGTGCACATAAATCACCTGGGGACCTTGTTAGAAATGCAGATTCTGATCCATCAGGTCGGAATGGGGCCTGGGATTCTGCGTTTCTAATAAACTCCCAGGTGATTCTGATGCTGCAGGTCCGTGGACCGCACACTGAGTGAGAACACAGCACAGGGAGGCTGCTCCTTGCACAGTTGGTGGCTCCTCATGAGACTTGCTGCCCTTGTGTAGACAGAAGAGAAGGCGTAGCAGAAGTAGAAAGCCCAAAGTTTTTCCCTTCCAACCTGAGGGATGGGGGAAGGAACAAAGGAGGCAGAGGAAGGTAAGAAGTGTTTCAGTCTCCCCTCTTTGGACTAGAGTCCCGGAGAACACAGATGTATTAGGAAGGGGCGGAGGAAGCTTCTGAAAAGGAAAAGACTTGTGTCCAGCTTGTGGTTCCCAACGCTGAAATGAAAATACCCAGTGTGGGCACCATGCCTCAAGGAAAATTTGATAATGAGAAATGATTAGACAGAGGAAGACCTCTGTTAACTCTTCAAAGCTGCCTTCTTGTCCCATGGTTGGAACCCAAAGCTCTCCAAAGCCCCTGAGAGTCAGTCTGGGAGTTTCACAAAAGCCATCACAAGAGGGAGTTCCGGCCAGACTGCAGGAGAATCCACAGCACAGCGGGAACCAGGGCGGGGCTCAGACAACAGGGAAACCCGGGGCAATGAGAGGCCAGACCACTGGCGCTTAGAGGAGACATCAGCTGAAGACCCCCTGATGGAGCTGGTTGCCCTTGGACTTCTCCAGCCCAAGCTCAGCCCCTCTGTCACAGAGATCAGAACAGTTCCAGAAAACAGTCCAGTCCAAGAACCCCATCCCCACCCCACCAGCCAAGGTTACACAAGCCACAACCCCTAACGTACCCACCAGGACTTTGAAAAGGCACCATGGGTGGGGGAAAGGAAGAGAGTGTTTATACAAAGAAAATAAGCATAAACTTATAGAGATTGTTTAAATTACTGGATTGGACTGAAATTATTCCACTGGACTAAACATTAGGATCCAACAGGGTGGATCAGATCAGTTCATTAGGAAATAAACTATATACTCTGCACGTAGAGGGTAGTCCCAGCTACAGACACAGGCAACCCTAGTCTATCTTACCACGGCCTGGACTCTCTGAAGCTGGATTCAGCTGTGATTTCAGATTTGTTAATTACTTCTAACAACTCTCAGCCGTGTGGAGGTATTAAATGCCTCCAGGTGGTTAATTTCTTCTCATTTAAGTTGTCCTTCTTGTTACGTGGAACTTCAAACAACTCTTTTCTATTCCTCAAATAATTTCTTATGGATGCCCTGATACCCTGAGGAATGTCCTAAAGAGATATGCCTTTTTGAGAGAATGCATATCCCAACACTGGGCATTAAATGATTGAATAATACTCTCTCTGACTCCCTCTTATGCTGCCGGGAAGAAACACAGTGTTATCCAAGAACAGCCCTAGCATCCTTGGTACTGCCCAAAGGGAATGTGCTTCCCCTTGGATCCCAAATGGGAGTGATTTGACCTACGAAAGGGATTCACCCAAAGGATTTAAACCTCCCTCGCAAACCAACAGCAGAAAGAGAACACTGATTACCTCAAGATACCTACACAGACTAATAAGT